CACCTCTGTATGCTCAACATGACAGGTAACAATACTCCCTCTGTATACTCAACATAACAGGTGAACACATAGTTCTGTATACTCAACATGACAGGTAAAATACCCCTGGCATACCGCAACATGACAGGTAAACACTCCCGGTATGCTTAACGTGACAGGTAAAATACCCCCTTTATACTCAACACGCCAGGTAAATACTCCTCTGTATAATTCAACATGACACGTAAATAAACCAACATGTCAGGTAAATACTCCTCTGTATACCAACACGTCAGGTAAATACTCCTCTGTATACTCAACATGTCGGGTAAAATACTCCTCCTGTATCATCAACGTGACAATTAAATAATCCTCTGTATACTCAACATGTCAGGTAAATACTCTGTGTATACTCAACATGACAGGTAAATATTCCTCTCTGTATCCCTCAACATGTCAGGTAAAATACTCCTCTGTATCATCAACGTCACAGGTAAAATGCTCCTCTGTATAATCAACATGACAGGTAAATACTCCTCTGTATACCTCAACACTTCAGGTACATTCTACTCTGTATACTCAACATAACAGGTAAATACCTCTCTGTACACTCAACATGTCAGGTAAATACTCCTCTGTATACTCAACATGTCAGGTAAATACACCTCTGTATAATTCAACATGTCAGGTAAAATACTCCCTCTGTATACTCAACATGCCAGGTAAATACACCTCTGTACACTCAACGTGTCAGGTAAATGCTCCTCTGTATACTCAACATGACAGGTAAATACTCACCTCTGTATACCTCAACATGACAGGTAAATACTCCTCTGTATACTCAACATGTCAGGTAAATGCACCTCTGTATACTCAACATGTCAGGTAAATATGCTCACTCTGTATACTCAACATGTCAGGTAAATACTCCTCTATACGATTCAACGTGTCGGGTAAATACTCCTCTGTATGCTTAACATGTCGAGGTAAATGCTCCTCTGTATACTCAACATGTCAGGTAAATTCTCCTCTGTAGCCACTCAACATGTCAGGTAAATACTCCTCTGTGCACTACAACATGACAGGTAAATACTCCTCTGTATACCTCAACATGTCAGAGTAAAATACTCCTCTATACACACAGCATGACAGGTAAATGCTCCTCTGTATACTCAACATGTCAGGTAAATGCACCTCTATACACACAGCATGACAGGTGTAAATACACCCTGTATACCCAACATGTCAGGTAATACTCCTCTGTATACTCAACGTGACAGGTAAATACTCCTTTATTCTCTCAACTTGTTAGGTAAATGTGCATTTCCCTTTACCATGGTGAGGACGGTCCAAACCACGCCGCTATACTTCATCCAGCCGGGCTAAACTAACCTTCCATCATTACAGGTACAGGAACCTCAGGATGCAATGCAAGAGGAAACCACCCAGGACAAACACGGAAGGAAGAAGGAAAGAAAGGTTTGATCTCTGTAACCTGTTGAGAACTTAACTCCTTGGTTAGTTAAGGACGTGAAGACTCGCTTGCCTTCCATCTGTATCAACAATCGGACGTTGTATTCGTGCAACATACTCAGCACCTATTTAACCGGGAAAAATTCTGTTTTTAAACAAATACCCCTGACAAAATTAAGAACGAACAAAGAAACAGTGTTATCTTGTAGTTATCTTGTATGACAGTTATCGAACATGTATATCCACAGCGTAGTATACTCAGTATGGTATACTGGCTACACTACCTAACAAACCTTCCATGAAGACTGATGTTATCTTGTCATGACATGGCACTATTCAAAATGAAATGCTCACGTTTAATTTAATGTGCATCCCTCCCAAAATCACTGGAAAAGTTTGGATAATAGTACTACTGCTATATTTTGGAACTATAGAGTCACATTTTTATACAGGTCTGACGAGCATTTCTTGCAGGATTTATTGAGAAGTGTGGGCGCATATCCAGTATCGTGTGCTCGTGTTTGAATGCTGTAATTTATGCAGCCACGATGTCTTTCTGGTGTAAGGGAGATAACTCCATACGGGGATGCGAAGGCGACTATGACTGTCAACACAGCTTGTTAACCACCCCTTTACCCAACCAAAGCACTACAGGGCGAATTATATATATTCAGGGCGTAGCTACCCTTATAAAGAAAAGCCCAGGCTTACACATGATTGTTGCTAAAACTTAAACATATAGATCTAAAGCTTCTGGCTCGGGCCTACACGAATAAAATTGGCTAAGCCCTCAATACTATCTAAATATAGATCTAATCGAGTCTGGAAGCTTCAATCGCAACCTATCGGCCTTGGGAACCACATGAATAAAATTGGCTACCAATTCGACGCGCTCTTGATATTGTCGCCCTAAACGCACGTCCAAATGTCCTAAACGCTACTACGAGAAATTGTTCGGTTTTCTTTTCATACCTGAAGTAAAATATAGATTACAACAGATAATATAGTAGAATGATTAAAACCATCATCGACTCACAGTTAAACTGATATTTAGGAAAAGTATGTAGTCATCAGTAAACAGAGTAATGTCAAAGTACATTTTTTAAAATGTTAGTTCAACCCGGCATTGATTATGTCAAGTCTCACATTTCCGGCACGTTTTGGTCAGTCACAAATAACAAAGAGCTGCTCGCTAGCCACTGCCGCGAACTTGCATCTATCTGTCAAGTTACGTCATGTTGTGACGTCATGTATATCGAGCACTGGGTCAGAACAGGCCAGGTTTTCGGAGAGGCAGAAGTGCGGGGAATGTGAATCTTGTATGAGATGTAATGTCAGGGGGTGAACTGAACTGAAAATAAACATGGGAAATTGTTTCGTTTGTTCGTCGCCATATCTACCCAGTGTCTTTAACATTAATAAGATGTTATTTCAACACGTGTAAATACTACGGCAAATGTGTATGTTTACCATCCCGGCTGTCGAGGCTATTTTTCTGAGGCACATTTGTTGTCTTCTAAAATGTGAACGTTGTGTAGGAATTCAAGTCGCGAAGCACTGGGTCTGCATTTAGATGTGGGTTTGTGCAGAGATGGAGACTATTATGTTCTGTGATGCACAGTGAAACACATATGTCGTCATTTGAGTTGGTTTTTTGTAAAATGATAGGCGTAACTAAAACATTGATAATACCGTCACACAGCTTGTCATGAAACGTGGTGTGATGTTAACGATGTATCTTGCTTGGAAACTATATAAACCTACGTGACGGTAAACTTGGAGCACTTGCAGTAATACTGAATGAGATATCTACATGGAAGCCTGGGTGCCGTTGTACAAAACCAAAGAGATATGTACAATCGCTTTGGTACATGTTAAAGTATGGGACTTACTATCACCTTAGTGCTATGACAATCCCTGGTCCCTGTTCAAGTATAAACTTACCACCTTAGCGCTATGACAATCCCTGGTCCCTGTTAAAAGTATAGGACTTACTATCACCTTAGCGTTTGACAATCCCTGGTCCATGTTAAAGTGTAGGACTTACTATAACCTTAAGCGCTATGACAATCCCTGGTCCCTGTTAAAGTATAGGATTCTACTATAACCTTAGCGTTATGGCAATCCCTGGTCCCTGTTAAAGTATGGGACTTACTATCACCTTAGCGCTAAGGTTGTTTCGTACAACAGAAGCCACCGTGGTTCTCTACTGTTACAAAGCGGCAAATGAGAAAAACAACTTTCTTGAACCATCCAGTCATGGGACATAAGTATTCGTTAGTCGGCAAAATTATCATAGACTTGCATGTTATTTTAGTGTAGCTGTAATAATTGTCATTAATTCAGTTTTCGTTATGTGGTTGTCAAACTTTGCAGGTTGTTAGGAAACCATCTTGGTCACAGATATATATTTTCCATGTAATGTTCCTTCAAGTATTTTGTGCATTGTAGTTACATGACACAACATAGACATAGTGTATTCTTTCTCCATAGACGCCATGTTAAACATTGTCATAAGCATGACATGCATCATTCAAAGTGTGGTCATTCTTGAAATACTGAATGGAAAATAAAACGGAAATTATGTCTGTGCAACTGAGATGATTCATGACACATGTGCAAAATATGAACAAGATTAAAAAGAATAAATTCCAGACGTTTTTCTAGCTGCACCAAATTAGCATGTAAGTGTATGGAAATTATGTACAGTGACGAATACTTATGCCCAATGACACTATAAAAAGTCTTTGTCTCAAAATGATTATATCATCACCAGCATATTCCATTATAAGGTCATTAAATCTGTGTTCAAAGTAATTGTATCCAAATGTATTTGCCATATGAGTATGTATTGACAGCTGTCAATAGGGCAGGTGGAACAGATTGAGACCATTCTCTGTTAGAATGTAGATTACATGAAGTCCAATATTCTATGCATCATATTCTCTGCTCCAGAGGCTGGTGACTTGAAGACAGGACCGGCCTATCAACAAACCGGGGATGAAGCTGAACAACATGGAGGTAAAACTGGAGACTGTCTGAACATAGTGTTTGCTACAGTGCAGTAACAGGGATAAAATCAGTTAACGAACAGTGTCCCAACTATATTACCTTTGAGCGCATCCTTTAAGATTAGACTCACTGACTCAGGCTGGTATACATACTTATATCTGATTGTTATAGCAGCAGATCCCATGAATGTACTGTGTAGGTCCGGTTGTTAAACAAACTGAATGTAATGTATAGAGCTAGTACTTCAACATGACAGAATATAAAGATCGAGTACAACAAAACCTGGATATAATGTATAGGGTCTTGTGAATATATTTGTACCACAAAAAACTAGCATTCAAGTATATCTACATTGGCTGTGAGAATATACACACATGTTTTATTGTTACTAACTCCAATTCTAAACTGCAGATATTTTCATATATAATACTAAACACAAACTGAATATAATGTATGGAACTACTGTGTGTCGTTTCTGAAACCTAACTGTTTTCTTCAGCCTCGAGTGACGTGGAGCAGAGATGCGAACCACCGCCACAGTGAGAGCAGCTGATGATAGTGTTCCACGTCAAGGAGGTGAGAGCAGTAGCCAGGACCGTGGTACTGGAATGTCACGCCAGTGTCAACACTTATCACAGATCAGGATAAGTTATTGTTCCACGTCAAGGAGGTGAGAGCAGTAGGCAGGACTGTGGTACTGGGATGTCACGCCAGTGTCAACACTTGTATCACAGATCAGGATAAGTTATTGTTCCACATCAAGGAGGTGAGAGCAGTAGGCAGGACTGTGGTACTGGAATGTCACGCCAGTGTCAACACTTGTATCACAGATCAGGATAAGTTATTGTTCCACATCAAGGAGGTGAGAGCAGTAGGCAGGACTGTGGTACTGGAATGTCACGCCAGTGTCAACACTTGTATCACAGATCAGGATAAGTTATTGTTCCACGTCAAGGAGGTGAGAGCAGTAGGCAGGACTGTGGTACTGGAATGTCACGCCAGTGTCAACACTTGTATCATAGATCAGGATAAGTTATTGTGAAGGAGTTGAAACAGTAAATACAGAATGTGAAATGTGTTTTCATTCACTAGATAAGCACTGTTCCAGACGTTACAAAATGGACAAAATTGAAACCTGACATTCGATCCACGCATATTAGATACAATGTACAAGTATTTGCTGTATTGTATTGATAGAGACAGTGACATCTCGTGTACAATGTACAAGTTTCTGTTACAGTGACACAGAAAGACTCCAACCCCGCCATGTTGACGCCCTCCTTGCTGCCTGCTGTGTGATGGGAACATGGCCGAGGTGAAGCGTCTCCTGGATCTGGGACAGGTAGACATCAACTATAGAGGAGGATTGAGCCGGACACCGGTGATGTGGGCAGCACGGTGGGGACACAGAGAGGTGGTGGAGCTGCTACTGAGTAGAGGAGCTGATGTGTCACTGGTGGACGTGGCGGTAACAACATCCTTCACTGGGCCTGTGTGGATGGAGACGTGGGGACGGTGGAGTTGATACTGTCCCAGCACGTGGTGGACGTCAACGCCAGGAACAACCACGGGGAGACAGCGGCCGACAGGGCGAGAGACAGGGGACATCATCAACTGGCGGATCTCGTGTCACGTGCTGCTCGGTGAAGTCGTGTGGTGTGGTGCAGACAGTGATGATGCTGTTACTGACACTGACGTGGTGCGTGCCGTTCACGTCGTCGTATTTACATTGTGGGACCACGGTTAGAATTATTGTTGTGTTTGAGGAGAAATAAAACTTGTTGAAAACATTTTCAGACATTTTGTCATTTTGTTTTCATGTGGATGTTTTCATGATCAGGTAAGAAGATTGTTGACTGAGTGCAATATTTATATACAACATGATAGTTGACATAGTGGCGGACATTTATATGTGATTTATGTGACAAACTGAGTCACAGATATGTGACAAACAGACAACAAACTGTTTGTTTACATCTCGATCCACTCTGAGGCCATGTTCGCCCAGCTGACGGGGCGCCAAATGTACAGTGACGGTGACGTCACAATGCCTATGACGTCATGGCTGTTACCCAGCTGACAGACAGGGATACGGGAGTTGGTTTTCACTTTGTTACAATGAACGTATTTCTCCCGAGATTGTTTTCATGATTTGTGGCATCAGGTAATTAGACAATAACTAACGAGTGACGGGGAATGACAGACCATCTTTCCTCCGAGTTATATTAATTACGCAATTAAGCCTTGGCAAAGGACAAGATAAAGTACACCCATCTATATATATAAACTCTGTCAAAAAAGAAACGCAACCCCTGTATTTTAGAGATTTTGATCTGAAGTTTTAGGACGACACGGCATTTTTATTATTTAAGACAGAAGTCTGAAATTTGGCAGAATAATAACCCAGATGGGCATGTTTAAAATTGTCATTTCAAAAGTCATCTCACAGACACCAGTTTGTCACCAGGGGGGCGTCTTTCTCAGTATCTCGTATGAGCACCACGCGCTGCAATCACTGCACGGCATCTCCTTGGACAAGAACGGATAAGACGCCGGATTCTTTCCTGGGGAATGGCTCTCCACTCCTCCTGCAGTGCAACGGCGAGCTGTTGCAGCGTCTGTGGCGGCGGCTGACGTTGACGTACGCGTCGATCCAGAGTATCCACAGGTGTTCAATAGGGTTGAGGTCTGGTGATTTAGAGGGTCATGGCAAGACATTGACGTTGGAATTCTGCAGAAAGTTCATTTGTTGCACGTGCAGTATGAGGCCGGGCGTTGTCCCGTTGAAAATCTGTGTCTGTTGGTCAATAATCGGGAGAAGGTGAAGCTCTAACACGTGGTTGATGTAACGTTGGGCTGTCAGGTTCCCTGGAACGATCACCAAGTCTGATTTCTGGTTGTATGAGATGGTTCCCCAAACCATGACGCTTTCTCCGCCAAATCTGTCCACCTGTCGGACGCAGATGGGCGCAAAACGTTATGACGTCTCCTATACAGACGCTGTCTTCCGTCGTGACGTTGCAAAGAAAACGTGATTCATCAGAAAACCAGATTCGCCTCCAGTTTTGTAAAGTCCGTATCCTTACGTTGTTGCACCACCTGAGTCGTCGGCGTCGATGTAGGGGCGTAGTACAGGTCCAACAACTGGTCTACAGGCACGTAAACCCGCTTCTTTCAGACGGTTCCTAATCGTTTGAGCTGACACTCTCCTCAAACCTGGTATTTGTGTGGCAGTCACGGTTGGTAGGGCATGCCGATTACGCAGGTGATGGACCCGGATGTACCGATCTTGAAGGGGTCGTGATTCTTGGCCTTCCACTTCTCGGGCGATCGTTGGTCAAATTGAAGTTGTTGTAGCGGCTCCAAAGTCGGGATATCGTTGTTTTGTGAACATTTAGGTGCCGTGCAACAGTTCCAAAACTTTCTCCGGCGAACACGACCAATGGCGATATTTCGGTCGGCAGCACTCAATCGTGGCATTTTTAACACAGCTTTTCGGCGACAAATGAATGAATATAATACGGAAGCACATGGGCTTTTATACACCTACATTAACTGCCATTTTCATGATTTGCATGTGTTTTTGTGCAGAAGTCACCATGAGGGTCATTTCATGCGTTGTGACGGAATAAGCAATAAAATACACTTATGCGTACAAATGCAGTTGTTTGGATGGTAATCTTCATTAATTACGTGTATCATTTCAATACATTCGAATAAAATTTAGTTTGGAAGCAATAACTTCATTCAAACGAATTTTTGACAGAGTTTATATATCTGAGGACATGGGACGGTTGCGTTTTCTTTTTGACAGAGTTACAACGTAATTAGGGGATAAGTACAGTGTTTGACGATTGTGGGGACGTATACCATTCAGGTTATTGCTTTTCAAAATAATCTCTCCTTCTTTAAAACTATTAAATATTTAAACGACATCATTGTTTCATGAATGTACAAAGTACACCGAAATTATATCCCCTTTGTCTATTCTTTTTAATGTATTCAGCATTGTCGACATTTGGTGTATCACCCTCTTATCATAAATCCTAACAGCTCCGGGCAGGACCCTTACCCCTGGATGCCACAGGGACATATATGTCCTTCCCCTTCAACCCTCAATTTCAAGTCCAATAAAATCAAAATATCCCACGCACACAAATACACTTCACAGTTTCGAATTCTGCGGAAAATTTCCTGTTTCTTGATACCATCCACTACTATTTTAGACAAAGCTCAAGTGTTGTAAATGACCTTTCAAAATAGGCTCCATCGAAAATGTCGCCATTTGTGACACACAGTACGAAATCGCAATTCACAGCGTTATTTGCTGTATGTTTTGAAATGTGAAAATCGGATAAATACTGGGAGTATTGAATTTAAAAATAACATATTCATGATCACTGATATCAGCTTTACATGAAATCGCTAATTATAATTCTGAAACGTTGCCGACGAATCTAGAATCGGTTGGGATGTTTTCGAAAATGCACTTACACGAACGCCGTAGAGGGCTTTCCCCATATTGGACAGTGTTTACAAAATCACGTTTCGCGAGGCCGGTATTGAGACGCCTATTACATCACGTATATTTCATATTCAGCTTCGAAAAATGCATCACTGAATTCCCCATACATTTTAGAATCAAATTGCAACTGGTCTTTGTCACCAATACCAACTGTCTAGATAAAATGAGACGAAACATATTGGGTGTGAAAACGAACGTTGTGCTTGAAAGACTGCGCTTCTCTGAAATGTAAACAGACAAATTCCGATTTTACACTGTGTAGCATTTTCTGAAATGTTTTTCCAACATTCTATTTTTCAACATTTCAACCGTCTATTCATTGCTTGCAATGGCTCAATACCTTTGGAATATGCATGGAAAGAGTATCGTAGCAAGAAATAGGAAACTATAAATAGATACAATGCAATGATTTGATAATTCATAAGAAATTGTCAAAGTTTCCGTGCAGCGTGATGCCATGACTGACGCAAAATCACGCAGAACGACAACGGTAATTATCTGCATTTCTGGCTTTTTCTCTTACTTATAGTGAAAACGATAAAAGCATATAACAATACACAGATAGTCAGAATCATTCTGATTACTCACATCTCATATTTATGTACAAACGATCCCTGAATCAATGGACGGGTCCTCGCAAAATCCTGTGTACCCTTGTCAGCAAAGCCGACATTTTGTAAGAAATCGGTCAGCGGTTGTGATGTCATACGTCAACATTGTTTTTTATATAAAGCAATTTCTTTGAGGCGAAGGTCGGTTGAACAAGAGTAAACACAATCGCCCAATCCTTCGATTACACTGTCAGTATTATGGTGTATATTTTGCGTATAGTTCAGATACTTTTTCATGAAACTGACTTCAGTATCTACATTTAGCCTTGTTCAATATCATATCATACGTGCATATAGGGTTTACGGTGTTTTATTCTTTGAAAGTTTTTGATTGTTTGAATCATATTTACATAAGAAATTGACATATTTAGTGCAATACACCATATTCTAAACCTTTCACAAGTGTTAGAAGATCAAACGTAGCCATAACTGCAACTACTTTAGTTCCTATGATGTACAATATTCAATTTATTTGGACTAATAATGCAATTTCATATGAACAGGTTAATGAATGGTGATTTAATTCAACCTTATATGTAAAACTGATAATATTAATGAAAATGATTTCTATATGGTATGAAATGTATATGCACACTTATTTAAAGGAATTGTCTTGTTCATTGCATAATTTTGTGTCGTTTTATGGACAAAAGAATGATGCATATTGATCGGCCAGGTGCGCGTTTGTTGGAAACGTTTTATGATTCTCTATCATTGTTTTCGATAATATAATCAATTCATATTCGATTAAATAATATTGTGATGACAGGATATCAAACTCTAACTACATTTATAGGAAAATTGTTGAAAAATATATATACCATCTCATGTGTTAATTCGGACAAATCTTACATCCATATTCTAATATATAGTTCCATATATAAAAAGCTATCTGTTTGCATCTTTCATCGCATACGTATGAAGAGAAATAGCTACATACTCATAAACAAACAAAATTCTTATCCCAAACAAAATATTCGGGTGTTGTGAAATATTATTTTTATTTACGTTAAATTGATGCCAAACAGGTGCGCGTGATACGTAAGATACGCTGTCAAACCGTCTAATTGTTGATATATTCAGGACACTATTTAAATGGAAAAAACAGTCATTTTATGTTTTGTCTAAAGAGTGTTGAATTCTGACGTAGAAGCCGAGACCTTTTATACAATTAATGGAAATTAAGTGAGATATATACTAATCAGCATACCAATGTCGTCGTTTTCCGACGTCGCAAAATGCATAAAACAAGCAATGACGTCAACTAAAATGTTGTATTATTTTCAGCATTTTCATTACATTTGAAAATATGGCTAGTATTCTGGTAATAACGATGCAAAATTAGTCAAATTACATCTACACAAACAGGAGAATATGGGAATCTAAGAACTAACTTATATATCGGATAGGGCCATCCAAATCGCTATTACGTGCTTTCACATGTAATACGTTGTCAAATTTCTTGTAAATTGTGAAACTACCAAACTGCATCCTCTCACATTGGGGAACTTTGAATTGGAATAGTTTGGTTCACCATGAACATAACATAACCAAAATATAGCGTCCGTATCCACAACAAATCCTCTCCAAGTGATCTGAGTTACATTGACCTAGTATTGTTACGGAGTTATATCGTACGTGTATGACCTCTCTG